TGTCATGACGCCCGGCTAATTTTTTCTATTTTTAGTAGAGACAGGTTGTCGCTCTTGCTCAGGCTGGTCTTGAACCCTGGAGCTCAAGCGATCCTCCCGCCTTGGCCTCCCAGAGTGCTGGGACTACAGGCGTGAGCCAGTGCCCCCGGCCTGTCTTCAAAATCTTGATTCAGACGGGCCACATTTCAAACGCCCAATAGCCACAGGGGCTCCTGGCCGCCATACGGAACGGTGCAGGTCTAGAACCACCGACGGGGACTGTTTCACACACATTGCTTAGTCTGCCCCCACGAAACCCGACAAGCTCAAATCACAGTTGGGACCCACCTTCACATGCTGGAAAGTCAGAGTCCCAAACTTGGAGAGAGACGTGTTCCTCTTGGGTCCGATAGCAGCACTCACCACCTGGGAGTTCAAGTAAACTTGATGTTTCTCACCCTTCTCTTCAAAAAATGATGCATTTATGATGTTTCCAAGAGAAGAGTAGGAAATAAAGGCTACTGCACTGGGCCCTGAGGAAACAGAAAATGGAGTCTTTAAAAGTGCCATCGTAGCCGAGCACAGCAGTGCACACCTGTAGTCCCGGCGACTGGGAAGGCTGAGGTGAGGGAGTCGCTTGAGGCCAGGAGTTCAAGGCCAGCCTGGGTAACAAGTGAGACTGTATCTCTAAAAAAAATTTAAAAAATATTTTTCATATGTTTATTGGCCATTAGTCTATCTTCTTTTTGAAAAGGTTCTGTTCATGTCCTTTGTCCACTTTTTTGTGGGGTTGTTTGATATTTTTCTTGCTGATTTGTTTGAGTTCTTTATAGATTCTGGTTATCAGCCCTTTATCAGATGTATAGCATGCAAATATTGTGTGCCATTCTGCAGGTTGTGTATTCACTCTATTGATTGTTTCCTTGGCTGTGCAGAAGCTTTTTAGTTTAATCAAGTCCCATCTGTTAATTTTCGTTGTTGCTGTGATTGCTTTTGGAGTCTTCTTCAGCTAAGATGTGGAATCAATCCAAGTGCCCATCAATACATGAGTGGATTAATAAAAGGTGGTATATGCATACTA